GACAGAAAGTCAGAGCCATATTATAAAATAACTATAGTTTTCAAACTCCTAAGCATGCTATAAAATAGACTCTAGACATGATGAAGCATATGCTAGTTGTGGGAGATTTACTGCCTAAATTCTGTAATGAATGGTCATTACTTTTAAATGTGTTCCCTCAAATAACAGAAGTTTGGAAAATTACTTGGTTTGAGTGATCATTGTAAAAATTCTAGAAAATATGTAGTAATAGCTGACCTGAATATGTGAGGACTCTGTATAGACTTCTAAAAACTTAAAAAGAAAGACCTGGAGCCAATGAGATTGTGAGGTTTTTAATAAAGGCATCAGTTGTCTCATATGTAACATGGAATTAATCACATGTTTCTTGGCTGTGCATCATGACCATAGTGCTACTTATCTACAGGAGTTGAAAACTAGCAGGCCTCTAGGGGAGGCAATATATACAAGAAATGTGGTCCTTACAGAGCAGGAAGCATTCTAATTGGAATAAGTATCAGGAAATTGCCACATATACAAATATTGTTATTCTACTATTCAAAAGGTCACTGCTGCTGAAGGTTCAAATTTCTAGTGCAGGGGGTTAAGAATTTAAGTCATGTGTCATCCGTAGCTATAGATCCACAACTGATGGCCTTCTCCCCCCCATAGAAAAGAACAAGACACGAAGACTACTCTGAGAAGACAACAGGAAGGACTTTTGAATATATGAGAGATTCCTCAACTAAAGAAGATGTCAAGACCACTCAGAAAAATTTTATTACCGAATCAGCTTAGGAACAATATTATGGTTTTTCAAAGGCACAGAAGGCAACATATTCAGGGATACATTCTTCCATGACTGGCCACTGGGAGAAGTCCTTCCCTGACCAGCTGAGTACTCTAAGGGGACACTCTACTTTCATTGCTGTCACAATTTATGTGATAAAGTTCTTTTAAAAAGTAGTTTTTTTCCAATTAAATCCATGTGCCTAAATAAATCATCACATTTATAAATTTGCTTTTACAGTATATCGGTTAGGACTGTAGACCCTGGAACCTATTTTCTTGATTGAATTTGAATCCTCACCAGTACTACTGTGTGACCTTAGGCAAATTGCTAACATCCCCAGAGTTTCCTAATAGGTACATGAGATTAATGTTATTAACTACAATACAGAATGGTTGTGACTAAATAACTTAATATATACAAGAACTGAGAACAGTGCCTAGAATATTTTAAATGCTTTCTATTTGATAGTGAAAATCTTCAATGATGTATATTTTAATAGGACTTTTTTTTTAAGAGTTTATCCCTAAGCACTAAAAAATAGCATAAAGATGTCTTTGGTTTAAACACAACAGCTAATAGCATCATTATCTAAGGTTGATATTTAATTTTGATTTTTAATTTAATTTCACTATTATTTATGAAAAGTTCATATGAAATTAGTTTGAATTTAACATGCAGTAAATACAGAGTTTGAGTACTGCTTTTCAAATCATCCAAATAAGTTTATGCCTAATTAAATGATAAAAAACAATTTATAGTAATTTTGAATATTGCATACAATGATTAAAATATATCAAAGTGAGGATTTACTTAGAGCTAATTTATGCAATGTATCCATAATACAGAGAGTAGTTGGTATCAGTTCCTTTGAGAACATGTTTATTTTTGTTTAGAACATTTTAATGTAATGTTTTTGTACTATTGTACTATTTTTAGAACATAAAAAATAATTTAACCTCATTTTTTTACTGTTAAGAATCATCAAATGAAGAATTACAAACATTGTCCCAATACCACACTTACTTCAAAATAGATTATCATCACATTCTGAGTCATTGAATGCAAAACATTGTGTAAGAGAACATTAACAACTCAGTGTGGATTGTGAGTAACCACTTATAAAGTGGCTAAATTTTACTGGATGCTCTTCATTAGGAGCTAGACCTAATCTTTTATATTTCTTGGTGGTGTTGATTTATTCTTCCCCCTTTAGTAGTCACTTTGTTTTCACCTCAGGAGTAAGTATAATAATTAGCTCATTCAAAATAAATGTGATAACATAAGATCAGTCACTATTGCTACTAAAATATAAGCCCTATAAATTCTTAGTGGTGAAAAAATTCTAGAAACTAGGAAAATCATCTTCAGTGTGTGCTTCATGGAGTCATATGCTTTGAGGATATTATATAAATAAAGCAATAAATGAGTTTGACTTAACTTTTACAAGAAGACAGTTTCTACTCAAAACATCTTATGTCAGCATAAATCATATTGGAGTATAATTTATTTCACCTCTTTTGTTTCTTAGCAAAACCTATTATGAAAGACATAATCAGTTTCATTTCTAGTCTCAATGGGAAGTATGATCTTGCAAATTCTCCAATAAGAATGACTTAGAAATCATGGCACTTCCTTGCTTCTCTTACTCAAGGAAACTGTTTTTCCCTCTAGAAAACTATTTTTCTCCTCAGCATTGTCACTTGAATATGGTTTGTCCCCCAAAACTTCAGGCAGTAGGTTAATCTCAATGCCATGTGCTAATTGTATTTAGAAAGTGGAAGCTGATTCCATTCATGATGCCAGAGATGAGTCATTGGAAAGTAATTAGGATTAAATAAAGTCATTGTGGTCAAGTTACCATGATTTTATTTTAGTGGCTTTATAAGAAAAGAAAGAGAGAGAATACATATACACGTGCAAGCTTGCCATCTCTTGCCATGTGATGTTCTGTGCCATCTCCCAAGTCTGTAAACAAGACCATTATCAGATACAGAGTCTAGACCTTGCACCTCCAAAATAACCTCTTCTTTTTTTTTTTTTTTTTTTTTTTGATAAAATAGGTTGTCTCGGGTATTCTGTTGTGATAATAGAAAACAGACTAATGCATCCTCTCCCAGTTTTTATAAGAGAAAGTACTATCAAAACAATATGTATATGTATGTTCCAACTCTGCCCCCTTCCTACTATGTTCATTGATAAAATTCTGCTCCAAGATAACATTATCTTTCTTCTAGACTGCTTCAATAAGCTTCCAACTTAGCCCTCCTCCCTCTATTTTTCTTTTTATTTATTTATTTTTTTTTAATTTTTTATTGTTGGTTGTTCAAAACATTACAAATTTCTTGACATATCATATTCCACACTTTGATTCAAGTGGGTTATGAACTCCCACCTTCACCCCATACACAGATTGCAGAATCACATCAGTTACACATCCATTGATTTACATATTGCCATACTAGTGTCTGTTGTGCTCCGCTGCCTTTCCCATCCTCCACCCTCCCCCCTCCCCACCTCTCCCCTCCCCTCCCCTCCTCTCTCTCTACCCCCTCCACTGTATAACCCTAAGGGTCTCCTTCCATTTCCATGCAATTTCCCTTCTCTCTCCCTTTCCCTCCCACCTCTCATCCCTGTTAAATGTTAATCTTCTTCTCCTGCTCTTCGTCCCTACTCTGATCTTAGTTACTCTCCTTATATCAAAGAAGACATTTGGCATTTGTTTTTTAGGGATTGGCTAGCTTCACTTAGCATAATCTGCTCTAATGCCATCCATTTCCCTGCAAATTCTATGATTTTGTCATTTTTTAATGCAGAGTAATACTCCATTGTGTATAAATGCCACATTTTTTTTTATCCATTCGTCTATTGAAGGGCATCTAGGTTGGTTCCACAGTCTTGCTATTGTGAATTGTGCTGCTATGAACATCGATGTAGCAGTGTCCCTGTAGCATGCTCTTTTTAGGTCTTTAGGGAATAGACCAAGAAGGGGAATAGCTGGGTCAAATGGTGGCTCCATTCCCAGCTTTCCAAGAAATCTCCATACTGCTTTCCAAATTGGCTGCACCAATCTGCAGTCCCACCAGCAATGTACAAGTGTACCCTTTTCCCCACATCCTCGCCAGCACTTGTTGTTTGACTTCATAATGGCTGCCAATCTTACTGGAGTGAGATGGTATCTTAGGGTGGTTTTGATTTGCATTTCTCTGACAGCTAGAGATGGTGAGCATTTTTTCATGTACTTGTTGATTGACTGTATGTCCTCCTCTGAGAAGTGAGTTCATTCAACAAGCAGAAACCAGATACATGAAAAATATACACAAGGTCAGGGTCCTACTTTTCGGGCTTCCCATTAAAACTGGATGCACTTATTTCTGTGGTCTCTTCCTGGAATTCTTCCCTTAGGTTTCTGATTAATTCCTTTATGTTCCTAATTAAATGTCACCTCCATAGAGAAGTCTCTCCTAAGCTCTCTAAGTAGAGCTCTTGTTCTTCCAAGACATTTTCTATCCCTTCATCCTAGTCAGTTTTCTTCATAGCATTTACCACTATCTGATACTATATTAGTTACATATCCATGTCTGTGCTCTTATCCTCTGTGTATTACTATATATTTAGTATCTGCAGACATGTCTGGCACATAATGGCATATAATAAACACTTCCTGAATGAAAGAATCACTGGTTTCAATATTGGACTGTTTTTGATTTTATGATCCAATATCATCTAGTATCATCTCCTTCCTTCCTGTTTTTGTGATCCTTCTTCAGTTTTTAGTCTTCAGCAAAAGTGGGCTCATTTTATTTCCTCTTATTCATCTCCTCTCCAATTACTGCCTTAACTCTAACAAATCTGACTGTGGATATACTGTGGTTAACTTCTAAAGACAAATAAACATAGCTTCAATTGTCTTTCATGATAATTTGCTCTTTCCATGACCCACTAGGACATTTAAAAAAAAAAAACGAAGATACTTTCCACAGTTGTTGGTGATGTTCTTCCTCCTCCTCCCTTCCCCCTTTTCCTTCCCCACCCCCCTGCCAACCCACACCCCCTTCTTCTTGTTGTTCTTCTTTTCTGGGATTAAGTCTTCTGATTTTTATGTAGTCACGACCTCAAAGTGCATCTCTCATTAAGTGCAAAATCTAGAAAGGGTATTAATGTTAGATTGTCTTTGTGAGTTTACACATGTGTGATGACAGAAATATAAGGTACTTTGTTTTTCTTTCAGATCTCCAACTAAAGACATGGATTCGGAAGAGAAGGAAATTGTGGTTTGGGTTTGCCAAGAAGAGAAGATTGTCTGTGGATTAACTAAACGCACCACCTCTGCTGATGTCATCCAGGCTCTGCTGGAGGAACATGAGATGGCATTTGGGGATAAACGATTTCTGCTGGGGAAGCCCAGTGACTACTGCATCATAGAGAAGTGGAGAGGCTCAGAAAGGGCTCTTCCTCCACTAACCAGAATCCTGAAGCTCTGGAAAGCATGGGGAGATGAGCAGCCTAATATGCAATTTGTTTTGGTTAAAGCTGATGCTTTTCTTCCACTTCCTTTGTGGAGGACAGCTGAGACAAAATTAGTGCAAAACACAGAGAAACTGTGGGAGCTCAGCCCAGCAAATTACATGAAGACATTGCCACCAGACAAACAAAAAAGAATAGTCAGAAAAACTTTTCGGAAACTGGCTAAAATTAAGCAGGACACAGTTTCTCATGACCGAGAAAATATGGAGACATTAGTTCATCTGATTATCTCCCAGGATCATACTATTCACCAGCAAGTCCAGAGAATGAAAGAGCTGGATCTGGAAATTGAAAAGTGTGAAGCTAAGTTCCACCTCGATCGGGTAGAAAATGATGAGGAAAATTATGTCCAGGATGCGTATCTCATGCCCAGTTTCAGTGAAGCTGAGCAAAAGCTAGACTCGCCGTATGAGGAAAACCAGATTCTGGAAGACCTGAGTGAAAGGGATGGAATTGTACAGCTGGAAGAACGACTGAAATATTACAGAGTGCTCATTGATAAGCTCTCTGCTGAAATAGAAAAGGAGGCAAAAAATGTTTGCATCGAAATAGGTGAAGATGCAGAAGGGGCAGCTGCTAGTGAACTGGAAAGCCCTAATTTAGAAAGTGTCAAGGGTGATTTGGAGAAAAGCATGAAAGCGGGTTTGAAAATCCACTCTCATTTGAGTGGCATCCAGAAAGAGATTAAATACAGTGACTCACTGCTTCAGATGAAAGCAAAAGAATATGAACTCCTAGCCAAGGAACTCAATTTGCTTCACATTAGCAACAAAGATGGCTGCCAGTTAAAGGAAAACAGAGGGAAGGAATCCGAGGTTGCCAGCAGCAGTGGGGAGGCTCCTCCCTTTACTCAAGGGGCATTTAACACGTATACAAATGACACAGACTCGGACACTGGCATCAGCTCCAACCACAGTCAGGACTCAGAAACAACTGTAGGAGATGTGTTATTGCTGTCTACATAATTCAAATGGTTCTTTCTGACTTGCTTTAATACTGCTCATGTTTGTGGAAACTATTTTAAATATAACTACTAAAAATGAATAAATCATGTTAAGGTATTCAGTCATTAATACAAACTAGTGAGATTGTTTTTTTTTTTGTTTTTGGTATAAGATTCCAATGTACCTTTAATTATCATAGGTTCAAGCAGTGAACTATTTATTAGGAATGCAGCAGATCTAGCTTATTTAATGGGAATTAATTGATAACCTCCTATAGCTTCTATAGAAAGTGAATTATATAAATGTTAAAACAATTCTCAAATCACACAAAATATTGAAACTGTACGCATGAAGAAGTAAAATTAAAATGTGTTGTAATATCTTTTTCAACATTTTATAGTTAGAATGTTTAAATCTGTGAATTATATAACAGCTATTATGTTGTAACTGCATTCATTCAAATTTTAGTTCTTTTAATATTTAGATTTTATAACATATCATGTCTGCCATTTCCTCTACCCTTCTATCTATTTAACCCTATGCAACAGGTGGCTCTTGGGACATGTGTAAGTCATGGCAGAGGATCAGAGTGGGTCTAGATGAGTCCAGGCCAAGCACTGCATACAAACAGCGACTTTTCTAAAGAAACTTATATTAAGAGTTATACATTGGCTTTTGCTGTCTGGTAATCTAGGTCTTATAAATAATAAAACCAATGTTTTGTACGTGTTCATTCTTTGAGTGATGTATGTGTCAGAGAAGAAATCAAAGAGTCATAGTATTATTTCTTTATTCTCTATTTACCTAAGTTGAAGCAATAAAGTTGAAATGATAAAAATTTAGTGTTCCTCAAATGGATAAAATAGTGTTTTGTATACCAAAATTATTAGCATTTGTCTCTGAACATAAAGAGGGAAACTCACGTGATAAAAAGACTTATTCTGGTCTTTGTTGACTTATACTATCAACAAAATTGTCTTTGTAGTACTTTATCTAAGGTGCTTAAAAGAAGCTAGGTATTTAAAAAAGCACTAGCACCATCCCAAGCATTCTAGTAAAAATCTGTGAATTGAATGGATTTTTTAGGTTCTATCTTGACCGACAGTCATTATAGTGCCAGGCTACATTTGGTTGCCTGATTTTAATTAGAGATATATTTTCTCCCTCCTGTCCTTCTTTCCTTCCTCACTTCTCCTCTGCCTGCTGCCTGCCTTTCTTTCCTCCTTTCCTGATTCGATTGCTCCCTTCCTCCCTGACAGTGAACATGGGAGGTAATCATATGCAAAACAGTTTTATCATTTTTTGTACTATTAACTGAGTCCTTCTGCAGTTTATTTTATTTTTTTTTAGCTGACATTTGCCCTACATGTCAGGGTATATAAGTAGAAATGTTATTCTAATTTGTGGATATTGGTTAAGATTCCCATTTCTTCCCTTTTATTCATATGATAGTGCTGCAGGTTTTAACTCAGTATTCTTTCCTTTTGTTCCCACTTTTAAATTTGAAAGAATTTGATTTTTAACAATTCTATCGCTGAAATTTTCTTATCTTGTTCTTTCATTCCTTCCTCCCTCAGTTTTCCACCCAACTTTTGAGAAATTATTTAGAATTTCCATAGTGTTACAATTTTCAGGAACATCTGTTATCATTTCTTGTACCAAGGTTTTTGTCAGCCATATTTGAAGTTGGCTGACAAGATAGGAATTTAGATTCTATGGAAATAATGATAAACACTAACTAATAATGCTAACATGAGCTTTTTTTTTAAAGAAATAATCAAATAAATCACCTGTGAAAGGAAACTTTACCTGTCTAGTAGCTATTAAATCATTAAACAAAATGTTAAGCTATTGACATATTCATTGTTCACTGCTAGGGATTAAATTCAGATCACTATAAGTGATAACCCCATTGTAAAGTTGTTTTCTTACAGTGAAAGTAATCCCTTTGGATTACTCTTGTGTTTAGTGAGAAAATAGAGGAACACTGCCTATCTCCTTATGTAATCTCACTAGTTACTTGAATTCAGAAGAGGTTCTGAAAGGAAATAAAACAGGAAAAATAATTTCGTTTCAAAAACAGAATTAACTTCTGCTTTTATATTGCTAAGTACAATAATGCATTCTAAAAGTCAATTGTTCTATATTTTACAGTAAACAATGTTTAAAACTCTTGGTTAAAGGCAGAATCATTGATTTTTCAATTCACTTTAGAATTTTGATCTGATCTTTAGTTATGTAAATATGTTAGTGCTTTTGATCACTATAATGTTAAAGCATTCATTAGTTACCATGGTGAATTTCTAATTCAGAGTTATATACTCACATATAATACAAAAAGAAATGTTAAAATACAATGCCCTCGTGTTTCTATTGAGGTATTCATTATTGAATCAAATAAGAATTAGAGTTACGAATACAGGATTTGATAAAATTTTAAGGCTTTTATTATCAATAGAGTCTTAAAAATATTTATAAATCCCTCAGTAACATGACAGGTTAACTATGAAATGGCTATATACAGCTAGAAGAAGCAAACCAAACCCAACTTCTTACTATACATTTTTATAACTAGGCCTGGATTTTCACAGATGGTACCTTGCTTATCCTTCCTTTAGGGATAACTGTTTTTACTTACTTTTTTTCTTCATTAACCATCTATTTAAATGTTCCCATTTTCTCAGTGCTTAAATATGCTCTTTTCTCTAAAACATTTTTTTTTGCATTCCACCAGTTATAGTCTCCCATGAATATTTTAGATGAACTTCCCATTTAGTTCAGCATTTATATTCTACCCTAGGTTATACTTATTTATGTGCTTATATCTAATTTCTCCTTCCCAACAGAATTCTTATCATGCTACCTTATCATTTGTCTTGCTAACTTTGCTCTCTCCCACCAACCCCTTACTCAAATTTATAATTGAATTGCTAAATTTTTGAGAGATGTGACATTTCATATCTGTATTTTTTTACATGGTAAATGACTTGTGTATTTTTTACATAAATATGCATTTCTACAACCATAAAATATCAACAGGAATTCTACCTATAAATTTTTAAAAGGCCCAAAATCTTTTGGTTATGTCTTTTTTCAATGTGGCGTAATGTTTAGATGACAATAAAAATTTTACATTGTACTATAATGTGAGGTTTTAATACATGTATAGACTGTGCAATGTTCAAAACAAAGTAAGCATTCAATTTTAATTTATTTTAATTCACAGAACTATTGATTTAAAACAACTGAAATATTATCTTTTTAAATAAATTTAATTGCAAGGTTATAGAATTTTTCTCAACATTTTGTACTTTTAAGAAAAATATGTAGAGTTGGGCTTGAAGTGATAGAAACACAAAAAAAAAACTTTGAAGTTTCCTAAATAAAATATATATGGATATATATTTTATTTCTCTTATAAATCACCCCTCATTAGTGTGTACAAGCTAATCTGATAAATTTTTATTTTTATATTTATTTAAACATCTTCTGTATATAACAAAATATATTTCTGAGGCTACATTTTATAATTTTTCAAAATAGATTTACTGCTATCTATTTAAAATATGTTTTTCTAGTGACAAAATAATACCTTATAATTTTGATGTAATTTAAAAAAAAAATATTAGGTTATTTCTTTTCATATTGCCTGACTTGATTAATAAACATTATAGGACAAATAAAAAATATATATCATTTCTTCAAGTTGTTACTGATCCAGAATAATAAAAGAAATAATTGTACTTTGTCACATGATATTTCTTTGGAGGTGTGTTAATTTGCTACATAAAAAATAAATTTGATGCAAAGTTTTAACTATATAATTGCTAAGCTCTCTCATACAATTTATTTTAAGATCAATTATTATTTCATGATGGTATAAATATATAGCAAACGAGAAATAACAAAACTTAATAGGTTTCATACATGATTGTCCCCATCTGTCATGAAAGAATGTCATAGTACTAGGGATTAAACTCAGGGACACTCAACCACTGGGCCACTCCTCAGCCCTATTTTGTATTTTATTCAGAAATAGGCTCTCACTGAGTTGCACTTTGCTTTTGCTGAGGCTGGACTTTGAACTCATGATCCTCCTGTTTCAGTCTCTGGAGCCACAGGGATTACAGGTGTGCACCACTGAGTCCAGCTGTCTGTAGTAGCTTTTATGTTGATTTTAATCATCCTTTTTTATTTTATTTTATTTTATTTTTTGCTTTCTAGACTAAAATCACTTTAATGTGAAAATATATAATAAATAAAGGGCAAATCTGCTAGAATTTATTTTGTCCTCTTTCTTACTTCTCAAAATAAGCCTCCAATTTTGACTGGTTTAAATAACTAATTCACCTAAGTCATAAAGAAATTTACTGCCTCATTCTATGAATGACCATGAAATTATTAAAATTATACATAATGTCCAGCAAAACAAATAGGAATAAGTTAACACTATTTTTAGGCCAATATAGTCTCAATAGTGAAAACAAAATGAGCAACTCATTTTCTTAATGTAAATTTAATTTTTGTATTCAAAATGGTTGGGATAGAGAATCATAATTTTTAAGTTTGTAATTGGTAGGTTCATGTCTGTTATGGTTTAGATATAAAGTGTCCCCCAAAAGCAAGAAGTTCTGGAAGTTTGGCACCATGCTAAAATGTACTGCCCTGGGGAAAATATTAGCAAATGGGAAAAATGGGATCATCTCTCTCTCTCTGTATATATACATATATATGACAAAGTTATTTTCAGTAAAATATATATGTATGTGTATTTATTTATTTATTTATTTGATCCATTGAATTGATCAACTACACTGAATGTAAGGAATTTGGACTACTCTCTTTTACTCTCATACATACAGACTTTTTCCTTTATGATATTTAATGCACACCAGAGAAATAAACTGGAAAAAATAGAAAATTTTATGAAATTTTGAACAAACTATGTTTGTTTACCTCTGAAAAACACACCTTTTCCTGACAAAAAAAATAAGATCAAAGAAATTCTGCATGTAAAGAAGTCCTCTGTGTAGGATAGAATCTGTGAAGCATAACTAGTAATGTTGTAATGGCCACAAGATAGATGCAAATAGAATAGCTGTTAATATTACATCATCGGTCAAGCTATAACATTAAATGGCTACAAAAAGAATGTTTAATAAGAAAAAAAATTTAGTAGGAAAGTTTTTGGAATGCCAACTTTTCTCATTAGTTGTAGAATTTTTAGCACCCTTAGACCCCTTATACCATATGTCAGTAACATCTAGTACCCCTCATGATCTGGGACAAACAAAAATGCCTTTTTTCAGTCACTTCCCAAACATCCATTACTAGCCAATAGCGTACATTTGCAATGATGAAATCGAACAGATGTTCAATTATTGCTAAAAGAAAATATCACGTATATTTAAATAATAAAATTAATTAAAGAATCAAAAGCATAGGCTGTTACATTGAGTACAGAAGTACAGAACATTCCACATAAAACAAAGTAATTTATATCATGGTAGGTCAAATCTAATAATAATTTAAGGGTATGGGACATAAATATGGGGATTAAGAATAAGTTAGGGTTTTTAACAGAATAATTTTTACTATCTCTATTTGTGAGGAATTCAGGCAGTCTAATTATCCATTGACTTGATCAACTCTACTGAATATACTTACTAAATAATGAAACAATTATACCAATTTCGAGTACAACACAATGGAAAGCAATTTGAGAATACTGTTACAGCTCACTTACCTTCAGATTCACAGCTTTCCATAAGTACTCCTATAGTTGGTAGTAAATAGCAAGAAAATATCACAACATTTGTAAAAACACATATACATGAAAGTACTTATCTTACTTTTAAAGATGCTAGCAAGTTACAAGCCCAGTACTAAAATGTTACTGATGGTTACTGGACCATACAACAAAGAAAAGTATTTTAAAATAAATGAATTTTAGAAGATTAAATAAGTTACAGAAAATAAAAACCACCATGGCAAGAAACAAATCTATATGGAATTGGAAATGCATAATTGCTTGCTCAGAGATTTTATATTAAAGTGATGATTTAGGACACAATGTATTCATTTTCCGCCATAAATACTTCAAAATAGAGAATCTTTATCATTTAAAAACAATGTGTTCTAGTTGTGGTGGTGCACACCTATGATCCCAGGAGCTCAGGAGGCTGAAATAGGAGGATAGCAAGTTCAAAGCCAGACTCAGCAAAAGCAAGGTGGTAAGCGACTCAGTGAGACCCTGTCTCTAAATAAAATACAAAAAAGGGCTGGGGATGTGGCTCATTGGTCAAGTGCTCCAGAGTTCAATCCCTGGTACCACACACACACACACACACACACACACAAAAGAATGTTTCCTGCATACAATTTCTTCTGCCTTTCTTATTTCTTTGCTGAGACTCTTTTAAGATTTTCACAGGTATAAAACAGCTAGAGAGTAACAAATAATGACTAGGGATCTGCAAACCTGAATGCTGTAAACAAGCCATTTGAATCTAGAAGTCAGGTTCTTACCCATAAAATAATTTTAATGAAGGAAAGAAAAAGTTGAATAAGTTAAATTATCCAAGATAATACTTTGTGTGGATTTGATATGCTCACAACAAATATTAGGTATTTTCTTATTGTTCACATCTCTATTCTTTTTATTTTAACCTTGTGTAGGATATTTTATCCTTATGTGGAATACCCTACAAGTGATAAAGGAGGAAGTTAATACAATTCTGCTTCTCCCAACATTTTATATCTCATTCATTTCCAAATTAGTTAGGGTAGGCTTTATGGGTGTTGCCAT